GTATGTCCTGCTGCCAGGCTGTCCGGGGTGGTGGAGTTTCAGCTGCAGAGTCACACACTGATGTTTCCCCCTATGAAGGTGTGTCCATGGGACAAGTGGCCCTGATTTCCTAGCACTGGAGTTCCAGTCTGTGGGTCTGGTTTATGAGCTGACTCTTACTTACTTAGTCACCACAGAGAGAATTGGCTACCTCCCTGAGATGTGAGCTTCCCTCCAGAATGCAAGCCTGGAGCTTTGAGATTTGTCCTATTACTCGGCTGTCTGCAAAGTGGGAGATGAATATTTTTCTGCTCTTGCGATGATGCGGAGATACCCATTCTCTTGAGGGCTTACCTGAGCTGCTACTTAGCCCCTCTACAGACAGAGATGACCCCGGAGCAGTTCCCTGCTGCCAGGAGGGGTTTGCAGGGCAGAGCTGAGCACACAGCGATTGGGATGGGGCTCTCTTTCTGTGAGCACTGACAGGGAAGACACTTGGGCACAGGCAAATGGTTCCCAGTAGAAAAGACATTATCAGAGAGGGAGACAGAGAACATCCTAGAAATGTGGTGGGAGGGGAGATTCAGGCACCTCCTTGCCATGCCCTGTGGTGCAAGCCCCTTCCCCAGAGCAACTCCCTGGTCTCCTCCCACACACAGCGTTGCTCCCCTCAGTGTCACAAGGACTTAGCCATCAGTTGCCTTCCCAGCAGCCTGACCAACAGAGAGGGGAGTGAGGATTCAGGTTCAGCTGTGGGTGCTTTCATGCACATTTCTCCGTGGAGGGAAGGCAACAAAAGGAAGATGCTTGCAGTGCAGGAAGGGGCTTGCAGTGACTTGAGCTTACAATGTCCAGCTGTTCTCCATTTCCTCTAGAGAAAAGGTGGTAATCCACCTTGGGTGTGTATCATTTGAAATAATTTGAGTCATATGCCACTATTATGATAATCAGAATCTGGAATTAAATGTCCCACAGCAGAGCCCCCTCCTCCCAGTGGCATCCTCAGCCAGAACTGGCCAGAGCTCATGAAAGAAATTTACAAAAGGTCTTCCTGAAAAAAAGGAGGAACTTTTGGAATTTTCTATGAGATATTGAATGGATTTTTATCAATAAATCTATTCTAACTTACTTTTTCCTGCTTGAACAGGTCCCCATGACCAGGCAAAGAAAATGTCCAACAGCACCTCCATCACCCAGTTCCTCCTCCTGGCATTTGCAGATACACGGGAGCTGCAGCTCTTGCACTTTGGGCTCTTCCTGGGCATCTACCTGGCTGCCCTCTTAGGCAACAGCCTCATCATCACTGCCATAGCCTGCGACCACCGCCTCCACATCCCCATGTACTTCTTCCTATTAAACCTCTCCCTTGTTGACCTGGGCTCCATCTCTGCCACCATCCCCAAATCCATGGCCAATTCCCTGTGGGACACAAGGGTTATCTCCTATGAAGGGTGTGCTGCCCAGCTCTTTTTCTTTTTCTTTTTTATGTCAGTGGAGTACTTTCTTCTCACTGTCATGGCCTATGACCGCTACGTTGCCATCTGTAAACCTCTGCAGTACGGGACCCTCATGGGCAGCAGAGCTTGTGTCCACATGGCAGCAGCTGCCTGGGCCTGTGGGTTCCTCAATTCTCTTGTGCACACTGCCAGTACATTGTCACTCCCACTCTGCCAAGGCAATGCTGTCGACCAGTTCTTCTGTGAAATCCCTCAGATCCTCAAGCTCTCCTGCTCAGACGCCTACCTCCGTGAGGTTGGGCTGCTTGTGGTTAGTGCCTGTTTAGTGTTCTGGTGTTTTGTTTTCATTGTCCTGTCCTATGTGCAGATCTTCAGGGCCGTACTGAGGATCCCCTCTCAGCAGGGACGGCAGAAAGCCTTTTCCACGTGCCTCCCTCACCTGGTTGTGGTCTCCCTCTTTGTCAGCACTGGCACGTTTGCCTACCTGAAGCCGCCCACCATCTCCTCCCCATTCCTGGATCTGGTGGTGGCAATTCTATACTTGGTGGTGCCTCCAGCAGTGAACCCCCTCATCTACAGCATGAGGAACCAGGAGCTCAAGGAGGCCCTATGGAAACTGGCACAACTGACACTGTTTCACCGACAATAACCTCTTATTCTCTGCACATAGAATCATAGAATGTTTTGGGTTGGAAAGGACCTCTAGAGCTCATCTAGTCCAACCCCCCTGAAGGGAGCAGGGACACTGCTAACTAGATCAGGTTGCTCACAGCCCCGTCCAACCTGGCCTTGAATGCTTCCAGGGATGGGGCCTCCACTACCTCTCTGGGAAACCCGTTCCA